GACGCAAGACTGAGGCCGCCACAGGCCACACAGGCCAAGGCCCCAGCCGGGCTGCTCTCCCTTCCTGTGAGTCACAGTTCCTGTGTGACTGTGGGCACATGTCTACTCTTCTCCTCCCCAGCTACTGGGCAATCTCTGTAGTTTGTCTCTACAGATTTGCTCTTTTGGACATTGCAGAATGGAATGGCAGAGTGAGTGGTCTTTGTGAGTGGCTTCTTTCCCTCAGCAGAATATTATGCTGTCAGCAACACATTCTTTTGTACAAATCATAATATTGCTAAGATTTGTTTGTTCTCCTAATTGATGGGCATGTGGCTTATTTCTGTGCTTTGGCTCTTATGATTAATGTTTCTACAGATGTTGACAGATAAGTTTTCCTAAGGACACATTTCCAATTCTTTTGCCTGTGTATATTGAAATGGAAGTTTTCAGACACATGGTAACTGTCCATAAATTTTAGAAACACTGCCAAACTTTTTCACAGAAGAGTTTCATTTCCATAAGCAAATGTAGCATGCTTTCACCATTTTCAGGTCTTCACCTTTTTTTACATTTTCCACTTTTTAGGATATACCATTATTTTTGTTCTGATATTGTGTCTTACTGTTATTTAAATGTATATTTCCTGAGTAGCTAAAGATGCTGCTGAATGTGGTCATTTGTCTTTTTATTTTGTAGGGTGTATTCAGGACAGGTCTACAGGGTCTACAGGGTCTCACTATGCACATCAGGCTTGTACTGATCCACCTGTGTTCAGCCTCCCAAGAGCTGGGATTACAGGTGCATGCTGTCAGGCCCAGTCTCAATTTCTGTCTCAGTGTGCCCTGGGGGCGGGGCCAGTATGACACTCCTGGAATTGAACCCCAGCCACTGTGTCTGCCTAAGCAGGCAGTTTAGCTCACTGAGCTATTTGGCCGCAGGATTTTTTTTGTTTGGTTTTGTTTTTGTTTTTTGCTTTTGATTGTTTTGGATTCTTCATATCTTGTGGACACTGAGTCCTTAGGAGATACATTATGTGAGTACATGTCCCCCACACTCTGAGAAGGCTCTTCACTTAAAAAAGTGTCCTTTGAATTACAAAACATATAATTAAACTGAGTTGACTTAGATTCAAGTTAAGTGGTTAAAGTTTTGATATATCTTGAAAAATATTGTTTAATCTGACTTAGGCTTTTTTTTGCTTTTAATAGTTTAATTCCTCTACTTATGCCATTGAGGCATTTATGGAAATTATTTTATAAAGCACGAGGTGAATGTCTAACTGCTTTCTGTCCGTGTTATTCCCCAATCATGACAGCGCCATCTACTGCAGCTCTTGTGTGCTTGTCCTACTACTGCCTGGAGACGGCCGGCTAGATGTGTGTGCTCACTTCTGGACGCTGGATTCCCTTTCATGGGTCTACATATCTGTCTTATAGCACGTGTCAAGTTGAAAACTCTGATAGAAAGTTTGCAGTCGGAAACTGTGAGTAGTCCAATTTTTTACATCTGGCTTCCTATCTCAGTTGATATAAACATTTTGAATTTCTGTATAAACATTAAAGTAATTTTTAAATTTATCATAAAAGCAACAGCTAGAACTTTTATAAAGATGGCACTGTGTCAACAGCTTGATTTTAGGAGACTTTTCGTTTCATTTTATTTATGTATTTTAAAAATATTTTTAATTATTTCTTTGGTGCAGAGCCCTGATGTGCAGCTTGGACTGCTAGCGATCCTCTTCTGTCTGCCTGCCCAGCCCGAGGCTCACAGACGGGTGCCACCACGCCCAGTTTGGGTGTCCTGCACGGTGCGCCTGACTTCCAGGGTAGCGGGGCATGCAGTACCGGGGACTGAACCTGGATCCTTGCGCTTGCCAGTGAGGCACTTAGACTGATGAGCCACGTCCCCTGTCTTTTTGTTTTAACAATAGTTTTCCTATTTGATAAATACAGCATATCTTCCATATTTCTTTGAATATTTTGTAGTTTTCTGTGCACAAATCTTGTGTTATTTTATTTTTAAGTATTTTCTAATTTTTTTTTACTTGCGATTTTGTTATAAATAGTTTTGTGGTCCTAATTTTATTTTCTGATAGTTTGTGGTAAGGTGAATGATACTTTTTTGGTATTTGCACAATGCTAATTTGGCTGACAGTTTGTCCAATGTTTGATTCAGCCTTGTCCTTTCAATCCCATCTGTATTTCTAGAGATCTTATTTATAGATAAGAAAACAGTGACTATATTGTGACTCACCATTATTTGCCTCCCAACTTATATCTTTCTGTTTGTGCCTTTGTGGTTACTGACAGGCTTTCTTAGGGAGCCAACCTGAGGAGACTCAGACCTGCCTGGAGGATGAGCAGAGCAGAGGTCCAGCTGCACCGCGGGAGACAAGCAGCCCAGCACACCGCGGAGGAAGACACAGCAGGACGTGCGGCCGGCGCGCAGCAGCCCTGCAGCCCGATGGAACGAAGTGGAAGAAGCGAGAGCACCCAGTAGGGAAGAGTGCCAGGCTTTCTGTCTCCTCAAGATCTCAGTCTCTAGGTTCTCTCTTTCTTCAGCCTTCCAAGGCAGATTCACCAGGGAGTTTCGTGCCCTCATTGTGGGCTGAACCACAGTGCAAGTTTAATCTTCAGCCTCAAGGAGCATGTGCAGTTGAAGTGGGAGCACTGACTGGAAGTTAAAGGGATACCTCAGAAGAACTGATGAGGCTGGGGTCATTGAGCTCCTAAATCCTGGTAAGATAATTTTGCCCGAGGAAGAGATTTCGCCACTCTCAGTGGCAGAGGGGACCCTGTCCCTCACTCCCTATGGTGCTACTCTCGCTACCCCTGCTTGGACAAAGGCATGCTGTGTTGCTATGCAAACAGCAATGATTGTCCCTGGTGCAGTCACCAAGCAAGACAACTCACACTGCTCAGGACCCGCCTCCTCTACCCACTTCTGTCTCTGGGCCTCCTTCCAGGGCCAAGACTCAGAGGGCTCCTGAGGATGAGGTGCACAAGCTGGCCTCTGAGGAGGTCTGCGACATTCCCAAGGAACCCGAGTTTCCCTTCCCAGAAGCAGACGGCCCGGAAGTCGGCATGGGCAGAGGCAGTGACAGCAGGATCACAAACATGGACCAGCTGGAAGTTCCAATATGGGCCCATCACACAAGGAGTCTGGTTCTGCATCACGGGGTGTGGAGCTTAGCAGCAGTGCTCATAGCTTATGTCGTTGGTTGGCTGAAGTGTGGATCAATAGCTGGGCCACCGGGAAGGAGCAGGAATATCTGATAGTCCATAGTTTGCTGTTGTGAGGCTATTCACAGGCTTGGGGATGGGAGTGCTGGGGTAGAGTTGCCAGGGGAAGCCTGTTGCTCAGCAGTGAGGCGAACATGTGCCTTCACGGATGCCTTCAGAAGCGAGCAGCACCAGCATTCTAAAGGTTGCTCTTCTCCGTATCCCACCCTATGTGACGTCTATTAAGTCCACAACCTGTGCTTCCTGGAAGACTTGTCATTTCTGGTCACTTTTACATAAATAGGAACATATATGGGAGGAATGTTTGTGAAGAAATCATGATGCACATGTGCAAAGCTGTAGGCCTGGGCAGGGCTGGTCACAGCGAGACACACAAATCTCCAGAACCTCTCACGCCCCATGTGTAGTCTGCCATCCTGCACCTCAAAGGTTTATTTCTCAGCTTCTAGGATGAATTTCCACTGGGGAGACTGCTTCAGCTGCACACTTGCCTTGCACAGGAAGCCAGCATGCCTGGCCCACTTAATGTGGGGCTGTGAGTCAACTCTGGGACTTGAGAGCTAATGCCCAGCTCTGTGGCCTCTGTGGGTGAGGCCCAGCTGCTGAGAGACTTTAATGCTGATCACTAGGTGATAATGAGGAACCCATCCCAGGCCACACAAAGTTCCTTGAACAAACCAGAGAATTATTGTTTTATTTTATTTTATTATTTTGAGAAACTGGCAACTAACATTGAGCTACACTCTAGCCTTTTTTCATACTTTATTTTGAGCCAGGATTGTGCCAAAGTGCTAAGATTCACAGACTGGGCTGAAAGTTATGACCCTCTGGCCTCAGCTTCCAGTGCTAGGATGACAGATGTGAGGCAACATGTCCTGCTTCCAACTTTAAAATAGTAAGCGGTGGAGAGTTGAGATAATATAGAAAATCACAGGAATGATCTGGTGCGAAATGCACTTTAAGAATGGAAAAAGTAACATCAGAAACTGGAATAAGTCTTCTTGTGCTGTGATGAAAAGTTAGGTATGTGAGTGATTCTCATGTTAATGTTGCCCATGAACTTCAGAGGAGCTCTTGGGAACGTTTCACCTCCTACATTTCACCTCTATCCTACGTTCAGATAGAGAAAGCTGAGTCAGTACTGAAGAGTCAGAATAAAGTACATCGCTTCAGGAAAACTTAAAGGCAAGGCCCTGGCTAGGCAGGAAGGGGAGCCTCATTCATGGGTGAGACATATAGACTCTGCTCCCACATGTCCTGTATTGCTCTGCAGACTGAAGTGACCGAGCTCTCCTTGCTAAAATCAAGCCCAATCTTCCTATCAGAACTATGTGGAAGTCTCTACTCTGAGGACAACACCAGATGCTTCCTGATAGACCCCATCACGCTCCTGGGCCTCAGGCCTATAAATTGGCTTATGTGAGAGTACAGGCCAGTGTATAAGTGAGCGCTGGATGGGAGAAAAGGATCACATTCCCATGCAAGAGCTAGCAAATGCCTCAAACAAAATGACACTGCCTATCAATTGCCAATGCTCTCTGTCCTCAACCTTGGCTGCAACAAGATGGTGAGCACAGAGATAATGTAGCCTTGGAGAAAGACACGGGCTGTGGGTGGATGCAACAGCGCACACTCGCGCTTGCTAGAGCTGTATTCAAATGCCCACATTTCCACTATTTCTCCAGTTCCTTCATGGGCTAGTTTCCTCACATGGTTTAGACATCAGCAATAGCTTCTGTATCCCTTTTTGAACGCATGGTTTATAGTCATTTACCCTAAAAAACACTTTTCAGTTTAGCATCCCTAGAAGGGAAAGCCTGCCACAAAAGCTTAGGTTCTACAATTTCTTTAGAGAGAACCACTTTGGGGTGCTGGGTATACAAGACAGTGTGTAGTGTGGATACACAGAACATTTATAGATTTGTAGTGGTGGCACTGGTGACTAGGAAGCATAGCACCATTTCCAGTAGGTGGGCCTCATTGGGGAGAAAATAGGCATCTGTCGTCCTGACAGCACTTCTCTAACGTGCATTTGCCCAACTCCTA